TATATAATAATATATATATATATATATATATATATATATATATATATATATATATCGATTCACTAAAATTCACTATTAAGAAAAAAATGGGAGCACAATGTCCGACAATTACAAAAAAAATATACAAATTATACCAAATTATACCAAATTATACCAAAAATATATTCCCCTCTTTCCACACATTTTGTTACAAAATTGAGATATAATGCATTTGTTACTGTAAACACGGATGATCATTTTTATATATATTTTAATTGGTCACATTAGTAAAAATTGTAATATACATTGTAAAAAGTCATATTTCGAATCGTGCTGTGGACATGTAAAAATTCCAATGGCTATTATAATACGCTTTCGTTGTAGTTAGTTAATTTTTTTATTACTGAAAAAATTATTATATCAATACAGCAGTTTTTACTTTCAAACATAATAAACGCATCTGTACAAAAGCAACTTCAGGCAGTTAAATTGTTAAATTTTTATCTCATTTCGGTAAAATTTTATTATTTTAATTGTACATTAAAATATCCGGATAATCATAACAATTGTTTTGTGAAATATAAAACGCGCATATATATTTTTAAATACATTGAAAATATCGTCATTCTACAATAATCAATTCAATCAAAATTTTATTATAATCTTTATCATAACATATCTTATCTTCCTTCTGAGAAAATAAATTAAAAAAAAAAAATAGCGATAATATTGTGTTTAGATTTTAAAGATTTGTTTTATCGCGTTTTCCGTTTCATGAGATTAGTTGAGAGCAAGAAAGATTTTGGGACTGTAAGCTTTACGTAAGAGCACAAGAATTCTAGCTATGCTTTTGTGTATATTACCTCAACGGGTAGCTTCGCGTCCGCAAGATTCAAGACGAGGCAGCTGAGAAATTGGCAGACCCAAGGCTAGAGAGGTCCCTTTCGCCCTTTGCCTAATACGTTGTACAAAGGATAGTTGAGCTTTCACGGTAATCATTATATGATATATCTTCATTCGATTTCCCGGGAAAGCGTTGCTCACGGCTCGGTATCCGTCATGAGTTCGGAGCTCACGAATTAAAAACGCAGCTCTAAAAGTTTCATGAAAAATAGGGCCTTTGTAACGACAGCCGCCCACAGACGGAAATTATAGATGCGCGCCGCGCGTTCACCCCCCCCCCCCTCCTTCTCCTCGTCATTCTTCTTACATTATGGAGCAAATTACAAGAGCCACTTTGCGCGAGGCGAGCTACGAGCAACGTAATAATTTAGCGGACGATGGATCGCCTATGGGTGCGTCGATCGTCTGCGAACTCCCCCGTGAACTCCGGCGCGATCGAACATCCCCGCGACACAACCGCTGTCCTTTCGAATAGAACGAGTGTACCGGTGCGCGACGTTCCATTTGCGAAAAAAGGCATGGGGACCGGTTGGCTTTCGCGTTAAAACACTGAGATACGATAGAACGAGTTACGATAGATCGCAACCCTGAAAAAAGCGTACGAGCAACAGTGGCGTCTTCAGTGGCGAAAACACAGTTGATTAGTTACTTGATCGTTAAAGAATTTTCCTTATTAAGCTCGTCTCACGTTTTAATAAGACTGTAGACAGATGCAAATTGAAGTACGCGATGCGATCCATAAATTTTATGTATTCAATTGTAAAATACTCGACATGTTTTCCGTACCCGATTTCCTGTTGCATTGGAAAAATAAAAACAGGAAAGAAAGAAAGGGGAAGTACAGAGAGATAGGCCTTTTGTTATTCTTTCACCGCGCGATAGGTACGGCCCTGCACGACGCTTTGAAATTACAAAGCACCCACAAGACTGTATGAATACCGTCCCGGAATTATTTGAAGCGACGTTCCCTTCGAAATCGACCCTCTGCCCTTTCTCCTCCACCCTCCTTACCCTCCTTTCAAAGTCTCACCTGTCTCTGAAACGAGCACTCCGAACCGCATATACGAAACGCTTGATGTGTGACAATGACCCAACTTCGAAAGCTTGTTTGAAGTCTTTTTTTTCAGAACTTTTTAAACTTCTCTATTAATATGTTAATTGAAGCGGTGAAATCTCTGGATATTTAATTAATTGACTTTCTCATCTCTTAAAATGTAAATAATTTGTAGTCTTACAGATATACAATAATCATCACACAACTTTAATCACCTTTTAATACAAAAATTTAATAAAAAACTATCTGGTTTATTTTTTTCACTTTCTACGAATTGACCCACTGTCGAGCGTGACACCAGAGTGCTTCATATGGGTCGATCTATAAAAAGTGAAAAATGCTTATTGATTCATATGTTTATTCATAGCCACGCGGAAGTACAGCCGTGATAAACAGACGGTAGAATAAATTTCGCCGCACCCATAAAACTGATACTCTTAATTACCAGAGTCGCGTCAATTACAACATCGAATTTTTTAATTTCTTAAACAATTAAGTCTTTTAACTTTATCCACAGAAAAAATATGTATATATATATATATATATATATATATATATATGTGTGTGTGTGTATATATATT